AAAATATGTTCAAATCATCAAATATGAGATTGGATCTAGGGCATATCTAATATATCTCTAACAACCTCAACACCCTTAATGGTAGCGGAAATGGTGGTGGAGAGGAAGGAAATTATAGCGGTGGAAAAAAAATAAAAGGGAGGGGTAAAATGGGTTAGGGGCACTGAGGGGCAAGCCATGTGGCGTCCACCTCATCAAATGTCATCACGTAGAACATGATGTCCACTTTGGATAAACTTAACGGAAAAATTATATATTTGAATCAATAGTATAGCGATAGGAGTATATATGGACTCAAAGTATAACGAATGATACATTTAAACCTCTTCTAATATTATATAGATATATTTTGCCCTTTTCCGATAATTGATTGATCCTTGTAGGTTATAGTTATATAGCTACTAATCCAATTAAGCACGGATTGCTAGCTAGATTTGGGCATCGAGCCGAGATCAGTAAAACCTATTCTAGTAGCGTTGAGCCAAGTCTAGCCCGATAAAGCATAATCGAGCTTTTTACAGTACGTAGCCGAGTGAACGAGAGTCGAGCACTCGAGCCTAATCAAACTTTATTAAGTACAATTTAACCGTGCTCGAGCTAAGCTGAGCCGAGTTGAGTCCAGGCACTCTTTTATATTTGTATCCGCATACTAAACAACGCTTTTTGGGGGTTTTCATTTGTTCATATGCTGAAGTGAGAGTAATTAAATAATCTAAATTAAAGAGAGTAGATTTGAATTTGATCTATAAATAGCATGATTTATAAGATATTAAGCTAACAAACATGGTACTAAAATAAATTTAATTAAGAATAAGTACAAAAGAAAAAAAAACAAATTCATATGCCCGAACTAGATTTCAAATAATTTTACCAAGTATACCGACTTTTTTGTTTGTTAGGAAAGCTAAGCACCTCCGCATTTCTTCATTAGTCAAACAAGTCGTTGCTCCAACTAGGGGTGTACAAATGAAACCGACAAATCGCACCAATCCGATAATTCGAGTCAAATCGAGAAAAAAAATCCGACTATGATTTAGTTTGATTTGGTTTGGTATTGGAAAAAAAAAACCCGACCATATTTGGTTTGGTTTGGTTTTAACTAAAAAAAGTCAAACCGAAACCAAACCAACCCGACATTATACGTCGCAATAATTAAATGTTATGTATAAGATGAATACTATTTATAATCGCAGATTTTGTAAATCCGATTTATAAATCAAGAATGCGTTGTATATGTCACAATTTACGAACGTGATTTATAAGTCGCAATTTACGAATGTGATTTATAAGTCGCAATACGAATACGATTTACATATCGCAATAAAAGAATGCGATTATAAATCGAAATAGGTAATGTAATTTAGGAATGCGACTTGTGTATGCCGGAACGGATTCCTACTTATTCCAGCAAAGGGCGCTTTTGCTCCGATAAGGTTATTGATAGGGGTGTACAAAGAAAACCGATAAACCACATCAAACTGATAATCCGAGTCAAACCGGAAAAAAAAATCCGATATGGTTTGGTATAGAAAAATAAAATCCGATCGTAATTGGTTTGGTTTTAACTAAAAAAAAGTCAAACCGAAACCAAACCAACCCGATAGTATATTTATATAATTTTTAAAAATATTATATACATATAAATATTTATTGTAATATAATTTATAAATATTTCTTAAACTTTTTCACAGTTTTATCTTTTAACGTATTATTTCAAGTTTAGACTTAACATTCTTGAATGGTAAATAAATTTTACAGCCCATAAATGTAGTAAATCAAACAAAGTTCAATTTAATACTAATACTTACAAAAGAAATTCAATTCAGTACTAGGAATGACGATAGTGTTGGATAATTATTTTAGTTTTACATTGGTTTATAATGAAAATGTATAACTTAGTTTATCTTTTTCTTTAGTGCTTAGTTATGTACTTAATATTAGTACTTATTAGCTATACTTATTTTAGCATGACCTATATAGTATTTTTAGATTATGTTAATTTTTATTATGGCTTATTAATTAGCAATATTTATTTTATGTAATTTTATTATTTTATCTTTATTATTAAATATTTTAGTATAATGTTATGACTTATCTCATATTATTGTGTTAGTTTCTTGGAAAACACATTATATATTTTTATTTTACTAGGATTTAAGAAATATTTGGAGCACAAGTTACATATTTTATGCTATGAAGACTTTACCGGAAAAAAAACCCGAAAACCCGAGAAAAATCGAGATTGAAAAACCTGACTTTGTTGGTTTGGTTTGGTTTATAAATTTAAACACCCGACACCATTGGATTGATTTGATAATTGAAAAATCCGAACCAACCCGACCTATGTACCCCCTAACTCCAACTATAAAAATTGTGTTGCGGGAAAAAAGAAAGGAAAAATGTCCAAATTTACCCATCTACTTTTGAATATTGTCTACAACTAACCTCTGTTATACTATTCGACCAAATATACCTCTACCGTTATACTATCCGGCTAAATTTACCTCTACCATCAATAAACCTTAAAAAATTACCTATCAATCCGTTAGTTAACTCAAAATTTCCCAAATCCCTTTTATTTAAATCACTTGTTCTTCGTGATCTACTATTTTCAGAAATTACGATTAACGTGAATGCTAAATGTACTAAACTATACAAATTATTCATGAATATTTTTAATTGCCATTGCACCAACTTCTCTTCTTGTGATAATGGGCTTGAAATTGGTTTAAATTTTTTATAAATTTTCAATCATATATATACCGCGGAATTCAGTGGGTCTATTAGTTGTGTATTATATGCGACTTCTCATCATGTATGTACATGTATATTTGAATATATCTTGTAACTGTCTAGTTAGTATAGAGTTCGGTCGACTAACTTAAGCGTGCACAATGCTTAGGCATTTGATTAAAGCAAAGTTGCATTCGACAACGCAAAGTCCAAGGAACTTCAATTTCTATTACTTATACTTGCAAAGTCTCCATATCTTTGGTGCAACGAATTTAGACAAGCTACCTAATTTATATTCTTTGATTTACTATACTTTGTTTACTAATCACTGTATTATTTTAATATTTCTTTCTCTTATTTCTTTTTTCCAATTAAGAAAGTAAGTAAATGCCAACTATTTTAAAAATAGTGGATCAAGAAAAAGAATAAGTGACTTAACTCAAATGATTTGCGAGACTCTGGGTCACCCGACGAATCGAGGTGTAATTTTTAAAAATTTATTTATGGTAGGTATAAATTTGATCGGATAGTATAAGGAATGTTAAATGCACAATATTAAAAAAAAGAGGGGTAAATTTAGACCTTTCCCCAAAAAGAAAAGAAACGGAAACATTTATACGCTTTTTTTTCCACACATATATACGAACTCATAGCTTCAATCATTATGCTCTGCCTTAGAATCAAAGAAATCAGTATCTTTCTATTGGTTTAGGTTCTAAGGTATGGTAATATGTTCATGTTTCATACGGTATAGTAATTCAGTGATAATTGTTTCACGATGCTATACTGTCAGTGGAAGGAGTATAACTTATCAAAATGATTTCAAGTCGGTAGTGGGAATTAGATGACTGTTAGATTGGCTTCTAAGATAAGTTTAATCATTAAAAAGACAAATAGTCCTAAATCCTAATGCGCTTTCCCCACCCACCCCCTCCAAACTTTGCCTTTGTAATTTTAGCCTCAACACCTATAAGTGATCAAATCTATCAAAATCAAACCAGCATTTTTTATCTGAAGCATTTTTGAAGCATGGCAGCCGCCGGGCTGTTACTCTGCTATTTCATCCTCTCTTCTGGATTCCATTTAATATACACTGTCACAGACCCCAGAGATGGTAACAACTCCAGATTTTCTCATTCGAAATTTAACTGTGTATTTGAGTTAATGCGCCTAGGCATTTATTTAACTAAGCAAGTTTTATTATGTTTAATAAGCCTAGAAAAAAGACTCTTTTTTTTTATTTTTGTAACAGTATTCTTGTTTTTTTCGTCATGGTGTTAAGGGACTGTTCTGTAAATCAGAAATGTTCATACAGTTCTACCTGTCATTTCAAAAGAAAATGGCAGCCGTCCGGTGCACTAAACTCCCGCTATGCGCGAGGTACGGGGAAGGGCCGGACCACAAAGGTCTATTGTATGCGTTCTTACCCTGTGCTTCTGCAAGAAGCTGTTTCCACGGTTTGAACTCATGACCTCCTGCTCAAATGGCAGCAACTTTACCAGTTACGCCGAGTCTCCCTTCCTACCTGTCATTTCAATCTTCAGCTATATACTTTACGGGTCATCTCGAAAATGAAAATGATAAACAAACTATAAGTTGCATACAAGTTCATGAAGATATATAAACAATGTTGTAACAGCAAGTTTTCGACTTGTATTCAATTTACTACTTCTAAAAATATAATGCCAACATACGGAGTCCATGATTTAAATTTGATGAGTTTAACTTATGAGATTCTTTACGTGAACACATTGTATTTTTTTTTTTTGAAATTATGAGTTCAAAAATGTTAAAATTGTATTGTTTTTTCTTAATTTATATATTCATGTTTCGTGTTGAAATACTAGTTCAGTTGAACTCATGAAAAAAGGCTGCATCTGCCTCTGCTAACATGAATAATTTCAAAATTTGGTTGAGTGCAGTTGCAATACTTCGATCTCTGAAAGACCAGTGGGAAAATACACCACCTAGTTGGCAGAAGAGCGATGATCCTTGTGGTACAACCTGGGAAGGTGTAACCTGCAACAACTCAAGGGTAACTGCATTGTGAGTATGCTATTCTCTTTTATTGTTCATCCTCCAACATTTAGTCTTTGACATGGTTGTTTCACCAGCCAATCACTTCTTAATCATTGATTGTATTTCTTATTTCTTCAGGGGATTATCAACGATGGGACTGAGAGGAAAATTAAGTGGTGATATTGGGGGGCTCACTGAATTAATTTCCTTGTGAGTTGGTGTTTTTAAATCTCATAAACGTGTGTTGAATATTAACTATAGCTTGTATTGGTTATCATGATTTGTTGAGTTGAGTTTCTAAACTTGCATTTCCAGAGACTTGTCATTCAATCGAGGACTTACAGGTTCCCTCTCTCCGCGGATAGGAGATCTGCAAAAACTAAACATATTGTAAGACTAGTAAAACTTGATGGTTTTTTATTTTTATTTTCATATAGCCGATCTAACTTGCTTGGCGTTGAGGCATAGTTGATGTTTTTTGTTAAACATGATGCTCTTCTTCCGAAACATACATTGCCTACATATACATAAATGCCTCTATTTACGTTTCAGAATCCTCGCTGGCTGTAGCTTCAGTGGTAGTATACCAAGGGAATTGGGAAAACTTGCAGAATTATCTTTCTTGTAAGAATTCCTCAGCCATATTAACTTATGATTGTTGTAGGTTTATCATCAATTTTATTTAGTTCCATGCCAATTTCTTGGGCAGAGCACTTAACTCAAATAATTTCACTGGCGAGATACCACGAACTCTTGGAAATCTGGCAAAACTCTACTGGCTTGATCTAGCAGATAATCAGTTAACAGGACAAATTCCTGTTTCAACCTCCTCAAGTCCGGGGTTGGACCTTTTAAAAAAGGCAAAGCACTTGTGAGTGAACTTTATCTATTCGAGTTACGTGCCATTCTTGAGATAGGATATATACCTATTAGGGTCTGACTTCTACATTATTGCAGCCATTTTAACAAAAATCAACTTTCAGGCTCCATTCCGGACAATCTTTTTAGTGGTGACATGGTGCTAATACATGTGTAAGTCAAGAAACTAAGGAGCTATTTGCGTTATTCTCCTTTGTCTCCTCATTCTTTGCATTTCTAAAATGGCAGATTATTTGATGGAAATCAATTTAGCGGGAGCATTCCATTAACACTAGGACTTGTTCAGACACTTGAGGTTCTGTGAGTAGAATCGACCATCTTATGTTAGCTTACCTTTCGTATTACTTCACCTTTTTTATTTTGTATTATATGCTAGTACCCTTTTATCTTTAGTTGGTATTCATGTGACTTCATATATACAGTCGGCTTGACAGAAATACCTTAAATGGTAGTGTCCCATCGAACTTGAACAACCTCACTAGCGTCGTAGAGTTGTAAGTATACTTTGCTCCATCATTGCTCATTCAATTGTGTGCCTGAAATCAATAATTGGTAGCCTGAAGTGGTTCTTTGTGCTCTTATTGTTCTGCTTTTAGGAATTTAGCACACAACGGACTGTCGGGCCGACTACCAGATTTAAGTGGAATGAACTCCCTTAATTATCTGTAAGGCTAGCATGAGAATAAGCAGAATCCTAATTTAGCAAGTTGTTTCTCTATGATAAAGTGATACATCATATTCTTTCTTTTCCAGGGACTTGAGCAACAACTCGTTCCATCAATCAGAGGCGCCAGTATGGTTCTCAACTTTACAGTCTCTTACCACTCTGTGAGTATGAATCAGTTATGAATACAACTATTAATTTCCACAAACTATGACCAATCTAAGTTGGAACGACAACTGGTGTGCTGCTCAGAGTCATTGAATATGGCTCACTCCAGGGATCAGTGCCCCAGAAGCTTTTCACATTACCCCAATTACAACAAGTGTGAGTATCATCATCCTAACTGAATATTCCACGTCTACTACCCACGACGAACAGTTTGGGATGATCTTAAATAACTTTTGCAGGAAAATGAGGAACAATGCATTTAATGACACGTTGAACATGGGTGGCATAGTTGGGAGGCAACTCACACTTGTTGATTTACAGAATAACGCGATTTCCTCAATAACACTTGGCTCTGGATACAAAAATACATTGATGTGAGATGGCTCATGACTCCTTTTTTGCCTGTTATATTATGTTGTTTTTTCTCTCTCTGATTACTTTGTGGTTGTACTCAGACTGATCGGAAATCCTGTCTGTGACACGGCCCTTGGAAACACGAATTACTGCCAGCTTCAGCAGCAATCCGTGAAACCTTATTCTACTAGCCTAGCTAATTGTGGAAGCAAATCGTGTCCTGCCGATGAAAAAGTTAGCCCACAAAGTTGTGATTGTGCTTACCCGTACGAGGGAACATTCTACTTTAGAGGACCATCTTTTAGGGAGTTATCCAATGCTAATACGTTCCATTCTCTTGAAATGAGCTTGTGGGTGAAGTTAGATCTCACGCCCGGTTCAGTTTCTCTACAGAATCCTTTCTTCAACATTGATGATTATCTTCAGGTGCAGTTAGGATTATTTCCACCAACAGGAAAGTATTTTAATCGGTCAGAGATTGAGAGGATTGGATTTGCCTTGAGTAACCAGACTTATAAGCCGCCTCCAGAATTTGGACCTTACTATTTTATAGCATCTCCTTACACTTTCCAAGGTATAATTAATTACTGAGATATTTAAAACTGTTTCTTCTAATAGAATACTAAATTGAACTCAAACTGTTTCAGCCGAACGTGGAGAAACTTCTATTAGTTCGAGACAAATTATTGGAATAGCTGTTGGGTGTACCGTCCTGGTCCTCTTGCTTGTTGGTCTTGCAATATATGCTATGAAGCAAAAGAAACTTGCTGAAAAAGCTATTGGATTGAGTAAACCATTTGGTAATATCATTTTCTACTGATAAAAGAGCTGAGTTATATATGTCCAGCACGCACGTAGGATTGATCTAAAAAGTTTGATTACTTTGATCTTTTTTGGCCAGGATCGTGGGCTCCAAGTGGGAACGATAGTGAAAGTGCACCACAACTAAAGGGTGCGAGATGGTTTTCTTATGACGAACTCAAAAAATGCACGAGTAACTTTTCAACGAGAAATGAGATTGGTTCCGGTGGCTATGGGAAGGTTTGCTATCAAAATCCACTGTATATCCATACTAAAGGGATAAACTCTTGCTCGGTTACTTTTCTTATTCGCTTGTATTCTGTTTCCTAGGTATACAAAGGAATCATCTCAAGTGGGCAAGTAATTGCTATCAAAAGAGCTCAACATGGATCCATGCAGGGTGGACTCGAGTTCAAGACTGAAATTGAGTTGCTTTCGCGGGTTCACCACAAAAACCTCGTTGGTCTGGTCGGATTCTGTTTTGAGCAAGGCGAACAAATACTGGTCTATGAGTATATTTCAAATGGTACACTCCGAGAAAATTTATCAGGTGTGCTACATCCTCCTATATATTAAAGATTAACCAGTCCAAGTATTATTTGATTCAAATATGTTCTAACATTTGGTAATGCCTTTAAAAGGAGTAATTTAAAAATAATACCTTTCCATTTGGTTCACATAGAAATTAATTTCCACTATGTTCTACAGGGAAATCAGGCATTTATCTAGATTGGAAGAGGAGACTTCGCGTTGCGCTTGGTTCAGCCAGAGGATTAGCTTATCTGCATGAGCTTGCCAATCCTCCTATAATTCACAGAGATGTGAAATCGACTAATATTTTATTGGATCAGAATTTAACAGCAAAGGTAGCAGATTTTGGCTTGTCCAAACTTGTGTCAGATAGCTCAAAGGGTCATGTTTCCACTCAAGTTAAAGGCACATTGGTAAGTACCACAACCTTCTTAATTCTTTCATCCTTCATATATGTATCCAGAAAATGATTTGCACCTGCTACCGTAGGTAAAAGAGAAGAGGGGCGGCAGGAATAACAAGATATCTAGTTTTAAGAACACATCCTAAAGTTGAAACCTTTCCAATATACAAGAATAATGTTTAAACATCTGTATAAGATAAAATACCATCAGATTTCCAAAATGTAAAGGAATGAGAAAATTATAATGGTTAAATGACTTGTCCTAGACGTTATTGTTTCTTCCTCTGAGCAGAGGCGGATCCAGGATTTTTATGCGATGGGGGCACAATTTTCTGCTCAACCAGTGCCCCCTAAAGGCTTTTAATGTTCAGGGTGTCAAGTGCTTTAAATTAATCATTTTCAAGGTATACACATATACATATACAAGATTTTTGCCGAAGCTTATGGGGTCCGGTGACCCCTCACTATAACACATAGGTCCGCCTCTGCCTCCGAGTACGGACATATGCTTCTTTTGGCTTTTTGGCATGTGAAACATGATACATTTGTTTCCTTATTGGTGTTTCCACATGATACATTTTATCTTTTATATTTAGTCGGAATGAATTTAAGACCTGATTACATTGCAGGGTTATCTAGATCCTGAATACTATTTGACTCAACAATTAACCGAGAAAAGTGATGTGTATAGCTTTGGAGTTGTAATGCTAGAAATGATAACTGCAAAGCAACCAATAGAGAAGGGAAAATATGTCGTTCGAGAGGTGAGAGCAGCTATTAATAAGAACGATGACGAGCATTATGGTTTGAGTGATATGATCGATCCCGTCATTAGAAGCGCGCCAAATTTAATCGCGTTTACAAAGTTCGTGGATCTGGCAATGCAATGTGTTGAAGAGTCTGCTGCTGATCGTCCAACGATGAGTGAAGTGGTAAAAATGCTTGAAACTATTCTACAAAATGATGGTCTGGAAACAAATTCGACGTCTGCATCATCTTCAATCACAGATTTTGGGACAGCAATTGCTGCTTCTCGACATCCTTATAATAAGGATGCTCTACAGAGAAAGGAAATAAGTGATACTCATGCTTTTGATTACAGTGGTGGTTATACTATTTCAAGAAATGTGGAACCAAAATAGGGACAACCAAAAAAGGACTTGTCTTTGCTAGTTCTCATTCTTTAATTTATTATTCTCTATAGTAAAGTTTTGGAAAAATGGGTGAAAGGGATTATAGAATTTAGTTGTTGCATGGTACCTATATTGGCTAGAATATTTCGTGACACGTGAACGTGATCACATGTGGAATCAAGATCGAAGTTCAGATTTTACTACTGAGGCTTACAGTTTAGTGATCCAGACTTGCATACAATAGGTGTGAGTTCGATTTTTACTGTCCCCATTCCCTGATCCTCCAATGTAATAGAGAAAAGGTTAAAAGAGAAAAAAAAAATCAGATTTTCTAGCTTGGAGAGAAAAGTTTACATGGACCATTGTATGATTCCATGTGTCAATGTTTCATGTTCTAATTTTCTTCTGATTTTGTTATTGTGTCTCCTGACTTATAGGGCATCTAGTGCAAAGAAATCATATATGATAATACTATAACACAATAAGCAAATAATTGTTTGTGGCTGCTATGAATTCTCGCTTTGACCATATGAACTTCAATTGTAGTATTCAGTTAGAGTTGGCACATTTCAGCAAAGCATGAGCAAGCTGTTAACAGTTTTCGGCAGAATAGATCGATGACCCTATAAATTTATTAGTATATTTTATTTGAAAAAGGATCAAAACTGCCCGTAGACTATTCGATTTGGTATAAAATTGCCCTTCGTCCACCTATTGAGTCAAAAATATCTCTATCGTTATATTAGTGGCCCAATAATGCCCTTATTACTGATGGACTTATCTGAAAAATAAGAAAATTTATGTAATATCCACGTGTCACCGTCCTATTGGCTAAATATAAATCCTTACTATACTAAAAAAAAACCCACCATAACTTGTGTTTTGATTGGCCGCACCGATTTTAAACCTGTAATCTAAATCTTTTATTTTTAAAAGACAATGTAACTTATTCTTCTTCCTCTTTTAATTATGTTCTGCAAATGGGAGAATTTGTGTCACCACAACAACAAGAAAAGTAACAGCTTAAGCAAGAAAATGTTGATTTTGGGAATAAAATGAAATGGGTATGGGAATAAAATTTCGGATCTTGACTTAGGAAGTAATTCATTAAATGAGAATAAATTCATTAATGAAATCAAATGGGTATAAAATGGGTCTGAGAAAATAATTCACTATCTCCTCCTCTAATTCGATTTCATGGAGATTGGAGAAGAAAGAGAAAGTTGGCAGTGAGGCGGATCTTTTTTGGGGCGGGTAAAACCCAGGTTATGTTTTTTTTTAAAATTCTTTGATAAGGATTTATGTTTAGACCAATGGGACGTTTTTTTTCTCTCCATATAATTTCGTTAATAATAAGGGCATAATTGAGCCACTAAGATAACTGTAGAGATATTTTTAGCTCAATAGGTGAATGGAGGATATATTGTACCAAATCAAATAGTGTAGGGGTAGTTTTGACCCTTCTCCGAATTTTATTTAGACGCCCAAACTTAGGCTTGTTCCAATTGAGTAACTGAACACATATATTAGATATTCATTGAGAAAATTTTGAGATAATGACTTGGTTACGAGTCTTTTGTTTAACGGAGAGGAGTTTGTTTTATAATTGATTAAATTCTTTTTTAATTGACCTATTTTATTTTTATTTGTTATAGCAAATACTTATATCTAATGTGTATAATTGAAGGATAAGATATATTTTAAGTGGTTAATTTATTCACGTAATAAAAGAAGACAAACAAAAGATTTTCCAAAATTTAAGCCCGAAATATTTAATAGGAATACTTTATTGTAAGTCGAGGTGTTCAATTGAATAGACCTTAATTCATGTCAAATTTGGAAAAAAACAATCAATGATGTCAATTCGTTGAAAGGAGCACGATCAAGCCAAAGATTGTTGGATGGGTTCGTTCTACGTTTACTTCATGTTGGCACTGCTATTTGCTAATTTCTTTCAAAATTCATGCGTTTTGCATACTTCTACTACTAAAAGTGAGCTTTTAACAAGAGAACTTTTGAAATCGGCGAAGCAGCCGGAGTTCTTCGATTGGTTGAGGAGGATCCGTAGGAGAATACATGAGTACCCAGAACTGGCTTTTCAAGAATACAAAACGAGTCAACTCATTAGAAATGAGCTGGACTCGCTCGGCGTCAAGTATTTGTGGCCCGTAGCTAAAACTGGTTTGGTTGGAACCATTGGGTCTGGATCTCAACCTTGGTTCGGTTTAAGAGCTGACATGGATGCTCTTCCTATTCAGGTTTTTCCCCCTCTCTTTTTTCTCCATTTTTTCCTTTTTGGTATGTTTGGTTTGTTACGAATGACTGACCTTCGTAGAAATGATTTTCATATTTGGTTGGAGATAGTAAATGAAAGTAATATTAGCGAGCAGTAATATTTTGATTAAAAGTTTTGGGTATTAAAAATAGATAATAATGTCTAAGGTGTTGGTTAAAGTAGTGATATTTTTCGAGGAAAGCAGTTTCCGGATAGTGTTTTCGCATAAATTAAGATGTAATTTAAATTTCCAATTTGAATAAGAGTGAGTAGAATAGTTACCTAACCTTGTCATTTAAGAGATGGTTGGCTGAAGGTCAGTGCTGTTAATTTTTTTTCCCTCTCACTGCTGTTAATTCCACTGTCCAGTAAGTTGGAGCGTGATGGACTAATATAGAACAATTTCTATTATAAATAACCATACATGTATACTATTTTAGTGATTAGAGAAGTGAAAAGGAGTAGCATGTTTGACCAAGCTTCTAAAATCAGCTTAGTTTTGAAAAGTGTTTTTTTCCAAAGGTGCTTTTCAAAAAAGTATTTTTGACTAGAATCGGTTTGGGTTTGGCTAATTAATTTGAAAAATACTTTTGAATAACAATTAGTGTTTGACCAAGCTTTTAAAAAGCGCTTCTAAGTATATTTTTCTTAAAAGTGCTTTCGGAAAAAAACTACTTTCTTCTAATCAAAAGTACTTTTGTTCCTTCTAAAAGCTTGGCCAATCACGTTAACTTTGGGGGAACAAACACTTTTGGCCGAAAAAACACTTTTGGCCAAAAAGAAGCTGAACCACGACAGATGGATTTTTATTAGCATTGTATCTTAACATGGAAAATCTGGCAATTGGCAAAGCCTAAACTTCAAGGGAAATCAATAAAACTTTACTTGATGCTCAAAGAGCGAATAGCACATGATAACTCCCAACTGTTAAACCTAGTCTTGGAAACCACCAAACTGCTGTATCAGTTGCAGTGATTTCGTCTCTGATAAATGTATAACTTCTCTAGCTTGAAATACTAATACGATAATACCACCGTTCAGAAGTGATCAAATTGCTTATTGCTTATTTTTGTCGATGCATATTACTTTATGGAATACGACGTATTTGTTCTTGTAGTCCATGCGTAATTTCCAGCTTCTTTTTATCCAAAAATATAAAATGATGATCTTTTTGGCCTACAGTATGATTCTTCAGATTGTTTCATCTATTTCAACTCATTTATCATCTTATAATAGCTTCAGTGTAGTTTTATTGTACTCAATTCCTTCCTTTCGGAGCCATTGACTCAATGATGAGCTGCTGACTTGTTGACATAGTGGCTTCTCTAACTTGCTAGTTTATTAGTCTCTGATCTATTCTTCTTTCTTTTCCTCGGTTACTCATATTTAAAGAAAAGATATATACCCATGGAGAACATTTTGGAGATTGATATGATTCTTGATTTAGCTAAAATAAGAAGCTTCCTCCAAGAAAAATGACATACGTCTTATGAATTGATATGTAGGAGGAAGTGTAAGTAGATATAGTTGTCATATATTAAGTTTGTTATGAAATCAATGGTGCCATTCACTAGTTAGGAAGTAGAGATAGATATGGATGGTGGATTGGAGAAAAAGTTCAAAATATGTGAGTCTAGCTTGTTTCTACAGATAGCTCTTGTAATTTACTGAGTATTACTCAGAACAACAGTGTTTCTAACTCACACTATTCTCCCTGTGCGTCTGTGACCTCCTCTCTCTCTCCCCCCCCAAAATCACCCCCCAAACTTCCAATTTACCTCTATTCGGAAAAGAAAAGGAAAGATTATAAAATTTGCTCTAATTTTTATGATTTGCTTGCTTCTTCCTATACTTTGTTTAACTGTTTTTGTCATTAGAAAGAATTGCTTCATTGAGTGGAATGTTTGAATAGAAGCAACATTATGAAGGAATTGGTAGATTGGGAGCACAAAAGCAAGATCAATGGCAAAATGCATGCCTGTGGCCATGATGTTCATGTCACCATGCTGCTTGGAGCAGCGAGATTGCTTCAAAACACAACGGATAAGTTGAAAGTATGAAGAATTATTATTATTTTGAGATGAACTGCCTACATCCTTCCTTTCCTGCTCTTAATTTGATTCAGAAATTGATTTGTGTAACCTACATTCTAAACTGAAGGGCTCTGTAAAGCTCGTCTTCCAACCAGCAGAAGAAGGCTACGGTGGTGCCTCCTATATGTTAGAAGAAGGGGCACTAAACGGGTTTCAAGCAATATTTGGCTTACATGTCTCACCATTTATGCCCGTTGGTACTATCAGTTCTCGACCTGGTCCTATCATGGCTGGCTCAGGCAGGTTCAAAGCAACGATAAAAGGGAAAGGCGGACATGCAGCAACCCCACATAAAACTAGAGACCCGATCCTAGCTGCTTCTATGGTAGTTCTTGCATTGCAACAACTTGTTTCTCGAGAAACTGATCCTCTAGAGCCTAGGGTACATATTGCCCCTTTGTTTCCAAACAGGTCAAAAGTGTTTCAGTTTTTTCCGGCTCTGAACATCTTTTCTCTGTTGATTTTTAGGTTGTCTCTGTTGGATTTGTTGACGGCGGTCAAGCTGGAAATGTTATCCCTGCAAGTGTAGAGTTTGGTGGAACATTTCGGTTCATGACATCAGAAGGTTATTCCTATCTTCAGAGGAGGATCAAAGAGGTATGTCTATGTTCCAGTTGTCTATATCTTGTTTTCTATATCTTAAAAATTGTTTTGTGCAACCATACTGTTAGAGACAAGTAAAATTGCAAATACATACTGCTCGCAGGTGATAGAGACTCAAGCAGCTGTACATCTGTGTTCGGCTACTGTTAATTTCATCGAGGAACTGAGGCCATATCCACCAACTCTAAACGATCCCAAATTGTATGAGCATGTCAGAAAAGTTGGACAAGTCTTGCTCGGTGAGCAAAACGTGCTGATTGACCCTATTTCAATGGGCGCAGAGGACTTCAGCTTCTATTCCCAGAAGATGGCAGCCGCATTCTTTAGCATTGGGACGCAAAATAAAACTATCACATCTGCTATTAAAGATATACACTCCCCCTACTTCACTGTCAATGAAGATGTTCTTCCTTTCGGAGCAGCTCTCCATGCTGCTGTCGCCATCTCTT